TGTGTGTGTGTGTGTGTGTGTGTGTGTGTGTGTGTGTGTGTGTGTGTATTTAGGGTCACACAGACAAACTGAACTGGAAACTGAGGCGTTCAGGGTCCAAACAGACTGCATGCATGAACTTCATCTCGTGCGACTTTAAGCTTAATCCGTGTTTTCAAGCGCTTCTTCCTTGTTTTGAATTAAATGTGGTTGGAATAAATGCACTTGTCATATTTCTGATGCTTGTTGGAAATATTGCACAATTAGGGTATTTAATAAAAACCTTGTACTGGAAACAAGTTTGCATGTGATGGAGTCGTTTCAGAAAACTTTGAAATGTCTTTTACGCTTCTTTAATGCAGAAGTACTGCAGACTTTGAACAGATGTCATGGTGTCTGAAGGCCTGAGCTCACACTGCCACACACCAAACTCAGAACTTGTCTAACATTTACATCCTCTGTAAATATAAACATTTCGCCTGCTCACATGTTCGTCTACAGACGGTGCTCATCCATCTTTAGCTACAGTCTTGTTGGTGATGTATGTGATGAACTAACATCAATTACTTGTTATGTTTCTGTTCCATGTAAACCCATACTTTCCCTGCAAGCCTGTAGTAGCTTACACTTTTAGCATGTAGCACAGAGAATGCAGCATGACATCAGTAGAAATTATTAGTAATAATTCTGCTCTGGTCTTGGAGTGTAATGCATATGTGTTTCGACTTTCATTCAGTAAGGATGAGAATAATAATTTGTCCACCTTAAATAACAGTAAGCAGCATGCAGCTCATCTGTACTTACAGTAGTGTTTGAAAGTTTGTGAACACTTTATAATTTTCTATATTTCTGCATAAATATGTCCTAAAACATCATCAGATTTTCACACGACTTCTAAAAGCAGATAAAGAACCCAGTTAAACACAAGAGACAAAAATATTATACTTGATAATTTATTCATTGAGGAAAATCATCCAATATCACACATCTGTGAGTGACTGAAGTATGTGAACCTTTTCTTTCAGTATCTGGTGTGACCCGCTGTGCAGCAATAACTGCAACTAAACTTTTCCAGTAACTGTTGATCAGTCCTGCACAATGACTTGGAGGAATTTAATCTCATTCCTCTGTACAGAACAGCTTCAGCTCTGGATGTTGGTGGTTTCCTCACATTAACTGCTGCTTCAGGTCCTTCCACAACGTCTGGATTGGATGAAGGTCAGGACTTTGACTTGGCCATTCCAAAACATGAACTTTATTCTTCTTGATTCATTCTTTGGTAGAACCACTCGTGTGTTTAGAGTCATTGTGTCGCTGCATGACCCACCTTCTCTTGAGATTCAGTTCGTGGACAGATGTCCTGACATCGTCCTTTAGAATTCTCTGATGTAATGCAGGATCCATTGTTCCATCAATGATGGCAAGCCGTCCTGGCCCAGATGCAAAAAAACCAGGCCCAAACCATGATACTACCTCCACCATGTTTCACAGATGGGATGAGATTCTTATGTAGGAATGCAGAGTGTCCTTTTCTCCAAACATGACACTTTTCATTTAAACAAAAAAGTTCATTTTTTGTCTCATCCATCCACAAAACATTCTTCAACAGTCTTCTGGTTTGTCCACGTGATCTTTAGCAAACTGCAGACGAGCAGCCATGTTCTTTTTGGAGAGCAGTGTCTTTCTCCTTCAACCCTGCCATGCACACCATTGTTGCTCAGTGATGGTGGACTCATGAACATTAACATTAATGTGAGAGACCTTCAGCTGCTTAGAAGTTACCCTGGGCTCCTTTGTGGCATCGCTGACTGTTCCACTTCTTGAAATGAAGTGATCTTTGTTGGACCACCACTCCTGGGGAGGGTAACAATGGTCTTGAATTTCCACCATTTGTACACAGTTTGTGTGACTCTGGATTGGTGGAGTCCAAACTCTTTAGAGATGGTTTTGTAACATTTTCCAGTCTGATGAGCATCAACAACTTTTTTTCTGACGTCCTCAGAAATCTCCTTTGATTGTTCCATGATCCACTTCCACAAACATGTTGTGAAGAGCAGACTTTGATAGATCTTTAAATCAAACAGGGTGCCCACTCACACCTGATCATCATCACATTGATTAAAAACACCTGACTCTAATTTCATCTTCAAATTGACTGTTAATCCTAGAGATTAACATACTTTTGCCACTCTCAAATATGTAATGTTGGATCATTTCCCTCAATAAATAAATGACCGAAAGGGTTCACAAACGTTCAAGCACCACTGTAGGTAGACATCGGGTCAGTGAGGCACAGGATGTTGGTAACTGTAAACCCACACAGGATTGTCAGGATTTTTTTTAAGACTGTCAGTGCAGCACATGACCCCCAGCAGAAGTTCACAGCTCCCTGTGCCATCAGACTTATTGGCCAACAAGCACCAGTCTACGGTACTCAGTCACACAACCCATTAACTCACCATTTATGCAACACTGCCGAATATTTCTTTAATGTGAGCAGTGATTAAATAGCTTTGAGGGAATCAGTCGATGCATGAATTATTTTCAGAGTGGGACACAAACGTTGGCGAGCAGAGCAATTCAGTTTGAACGTAAGAGCATCATACCAGTGGTTCTGCAGATTTATAGTTAATAAATAGTAAAGCACTTACAGTAACTCAGCTTGGTTACTTGAAGGAACATTCAAAGGTTTCAAAGCTTTTGGGAACACAGAACTACTTCATCCATTGTCGCTTGTTATTCCTAAATCCTAAACATTTTATCTTGTGTCACTGATGTTCTCGATGACTTCATCTTTGTTGGCCATCATTTTCCAGGCACAACTTCATTTCTGTTATTTTCTAAAATCAGCATTAGTCTCTAATATTATGTCGCCTCCCAGGGTTTTAACGATCCCCTCCAAAAACCAAGAACAGCAGAACCAAGAGCATGACCCTTATACAAAACACACCTCCACCTCGTCTCATTGATCAAAAAAGAAACAAAGATTATTCTCAAATCAAGGTGTAAGAGTAACACTTTAAGTAAAAGTTTGATTTTAAAAAAACATGGTAATATCCAGAGTTACACAGCTCAAGTTTCACTGGATCTAATTCATTAAAGAACTGAGCAACATGTTTCATTCACACAAACACTCATTCAGCACTTTTTGGTCGTCCCTCGCTATATCACAGTTCACTTCTTGCAGCTTCACTGTATCAAAGGTTTTTAAACCTGTTTTATATTATGTATGTACTGTACATGCTGAGCATCATCTCATCATCATCATCTTCATCAGCTTAGTGTTAAAAAGCATATAAAGTGTTTATAAGGTGTATAAAGCATATATATATACATATATATATACATATATATATATAAATAATAAAATAAAAATAATTCCACTACTTCGTGGATTTTCAACTACCACAGGGGTCCCTAGAACAAAACCATTGCGATCCTATAGCACTTTTTACACGTAATCATAAACACAAGAAGCTTATCATGAACGACTGGGGGTCTGACTTTTGAAATTGTAGGAAAAAAAAAATCTCAACAAGGTTTCGAGCCTTTGAACATTGTTTTTCATACTGCACTGCCATACATCTTTACAGTAGCACTGTGAGGTCAGTCAATCAACTGATTACTAAAAAGCAGCAGTAGTAACTTAGAACCAAAACTTTTTTTTTCCCAAAAACATAATTATGAAACTTGGAAGTTAAATATCATCAGCACCAACCACTGATTGTAAAAACATCACAGCTAGCTGTAGTTCAGTGTTGGTGCGATGGTCTCACCTCTTCGTACACCTCTCTAACAGCGGCTCCGCAGGGCTCCTCATCGGGTTCCATCCCCCCTCCTGGAACGATCCATTGGTCCGGATGTCGACTGCTGCTGACCAACAGAACCTGCGGAGGAGAGAGGCCAGAGGTGCACAGCATGTTAGAGTTCAGAGCCCATCCATCCATTTTCTTTACCCGCTTATTCCATTTATGGGTCACGGGGGGTCGCTGGTGCCCATGTCCAGCAATCACTGTGCGAGGGGCGGGGTACACCCTGGACAGGTCGCAAGTCCATAACAGGGCCACATAGAGACAAACGAGACAAACAACCATTCACTCTCTCACTCACACCTAGGGACAATTTAGAGTTACCATTCAGCCTAACATGCATGTTTTTGGTCTGTGGGAGGAAACTGGAGTACCCAGAGAAAACCCACGCATGCACGGAGAGAACATGCAAACTCCACCCAGAAAGGCCCCTGGACCGGGGTTTGAACCAGGAACCTGTTCGCTGAGAGGCAGCAGCTCTACCAGTTGTGCCACCGTGCTGCCCTATATACAGTATATACAAATAATTTAACATTATTTATCTGAGGAGCAGACTGCTTTGAATTTAACCTCATCGCAGAACTCTCATCTTGAGCAAGCAAGAAGGCAACAGTGGAAAGGAAAAACTCCCTCATGAGGAAGAAACCTTTAGCAGAACCAGGCTCAGGACAAGCGGCCATCTTCTTCGACCAGCTGGGTTTGGTAGGAACAGATACACAATGGCAGGTCAAGAATCACATGGAAATAATTTCAAATGAAAACTATTCAATTTTAACAATTCATTTAAGGAACTGAGGTCAGTTTGGCCTCTAGTAGTCTAAGCATATAGCAGCATAACAAGCCAACCCTAACTATAGGATTTATCAAAAAGGAAAGTCTTAATCCCAGTTTTAAAACTGGACAATGTGTCAGTCTTACAGACAGAAACTGGAAGTTGGTTCCACAAGAGAGGAGCCTGATAACTGAAAGATCTTCTTCACATTCTGTCATTGGAAACCCTAGGAACCACAAATAAACCTGCAGTCTGAGAGTGAAGTGCTCTGTTTGGAAAATATGGAACAATAAGATCTCGAATATAAGATGGAGCTAGGTTGTTGAGAGCTTTGTAGGTTAGAAGTAAAATTTTGAATTTAATTCTGGATTTGACAGGGAGCCAATGGAGAGAAGTTAAAACTGGAGAGATCCCACTAACTCCAGTTAAGACTCTGGCAGCAGCATTTTGGATCACTTAATTAAAATACATGAATAAAAAAACAGCAAGATGTTTCACGTATCGGCCTGTTTGTGGTCATTAATTTTTGTTTTTAAAGCACAACTGATTAAAGACCTAATTTAGGATCAGTCAAATTTATGTCTGTCATTATTTAAAAGATAAAACAATCTTGCATATTTTAACTGTAATAAACCTCTTATTTTCTTAATTAATCACCTAAGAAAACTTGACAAATATAAAACCTAAGATGCTAAGCATAAGACAAATCCTTCAGTAAATTTCCTTAAAGACATGAACTATTTTCAGCTGGCTTCAGTGTTTTTGATCTAAGTGTTTCTCTGATGCCGCCACCTGACCTCAAACCCAATCTGGCATCACACTGACTCGCATAAAGTTCCTATGTGAGTCCTATTTGGATCCAGCGAACATATACAGCCAACTCATTTACCAGTGACATACAAATGTACATCGTGATCATGCTTCCCACAACAGCTGCAGCTGATCTGAAACCAGCATCTAAAATCATCCATTTAACAAGTAGTAAAACACAGCTGTCCCAGCTGAAGTTTCAAACTGTTAGAAAGTCTGTGCGTTCTTGCTGAGCCCTGATATCAGAGGTTGTAGAAGATGTGTGAAAACAGAGACTATAAAATCAAAACTGATCCCTTCGGCACAAACAATAGTGTAATAGGTGAAGTTTGCTGCTGCATAACTGCAAAAATAAATCCAAAAAGAGATGGTTTGCCTGTTTTCATGCTTTGGATGGTTGATATATTTTGTCCACGTGGTTATAAATCATCTATATTGCTGCATTAACAAACTCTCACCACATCTGTGGACTAATAGTTGTCTGAGGATAGATCGTCTCACCTGAGTTGCAGCTCCTCCATGAGCTTCTTGGCTGATTCTCACATTAATGCTCTTCTTTTCCAGGCCGGTCAGTTTAGATTTTGTTTTTGAGATTGTATAAAAATGAGCCCGTAAAGACACAATCTAGTGATCCCAGTAACTAAAATAGCATATAATATTTGATGTTTTCTAACATGTATAGCTTTAGAAATAACCCTTTAAATTCTAATTATTTTTGAATGGCATCACTCTAGTCCAATGAGATCTTTCGTAAACAAAACTAACTTATTGCCAGAGAAGGTGATAAATCCCCAAATTTAAACAAATCATTTAAAGGTTTTAAGATGAAGAACTTGAAAATACTCATTCAATATTACAACAACAACAAAAAAAAAAATCCTCATTGCAACTCATTTTGCCAGGACTTGTCACATTTTTCTCCAACTTCACAATGAAATTTGTCTATGTGAAATCCCAGTAAAATGCTTATAAAGTTTGTTGCCGTAATGAGAAAACTGTGGAAAAGTAGGAACACTCTCTCAAGGTATGTGTGGGGGGAAAAGGCTTAGATGGAAGCTAAATGAAACTTAAGTGATATCTCACTTAGGAACCTGAATCTACAACTGCTCCTTGACAAAAATCTGTAGAATAAAACCTTCCACCACCTTCTGCAATTTATTTAAATCCCTTTAAAGGCAAGTGTTTGGAGGCAGTTATTGAACTTTAGTGTCAAAAGGTGCAGACAGAGTTCAACATTCACAAATCACAATTTTTTAGATTTCTGCAGCTGAGACATGTTGTGAGATCTAACTCTGAAAGTTTTCCATTGTACCCCTCTGCATTTTGTGGTTATGATTTTAAAGTGCAGGTCTGACACTAAGGGGACCCTCAGCAAAATCTATACACTGCTCAGTTCATATCATGAGTCCAGTTTGGACTCCCTTAAACTGAAATGGGAAGCAGACTTGGAGGAACCCATATCAGATCTAATCTGGGGAAGGATCATTAAGAACATTCACTCATCTTCAATCTGCCTGAGACACGCTGTGATCCAATTCAAGGTAGTGCACAGGCTGCACTGGTCCAAAGACAAGCTGTTCAAGATTAAAGCCAACCTGGACCCAGCATGCAATTGTTGCAAACAAACTCCAGAAACACTCCTGCATAAATTCTGGACCTGTCCCGAGCTGTAGTCTTTTTGGCAATCTATATTTGACACCTCCTCTAGAATATGTGGTAAGACCGTACTTCCATTACCACTCATCTCACTGTTCGGGGTGGTACTGGTGGACATGTCCTTCAGTAAGTGTGAGAAGGATGTGATTGCCTTTGGCTCTCTTCTGGCCAGGAGGCTAATTTTGTGCAAATGGAAGGACCCACCCCCTCCAGCATATGTACCAGTACATTGGTTAAGGGAGGTGATGTATCACATTGTATCATTATATGTATCCTAATTCTGATGTTCTAGAATTGCGCCGCTCAAGGTGGCTGCATGTTGGAGCAGCTCTGTTACTTTCATTCTGAGATTTTGCTTTTGGAAACTTTAATTCCTGGTTTTCTGGATGTAAATCACATTTTTTGGATGATTGTTTCCTCTGGTATCAGATGTTGTGCAGCCGGAAGGATTTTTACTGAGACTTTTTTGTTTTTGGACATTTGTTATGATGCGTAACCATGGCAACAACGCAGTTTTCTACAACGACAGCAGATGATTAACATCTCAAAAGCTCAAATAATATCTCAACTATGGCCCCAACTCTCAAATGAGTTGAAAAGGATGCTCTGTGGACGCATTCTCATCTACCTGCCAGCTGTGCTAGAGTGCCTGACCACCGAGATCCTGGAACTAGCAGGAAACACGGCTCACGACAGCGAAAGGACAGGATCGTCCCTCAGCACCTACAGTTGGCTGTCCGCAGCGACGAGGAGCTCAGCAGACTACTGGGAGGAGTGGCCATCGCTCTGGGAGGAGTTCTGCCCGGCACTCAGGCGGTCCTACAGTTCAGGGGAACTGAGAGGCCAGCCGAGTTTGGGTGGATGGATCGGACGGCATCTGCAGCCAGTTTCGTAGGATCCACTGTGGGATGGACCTTTACAAGAGATCCTTCCTGTCTACAGCCATCAGTATCTATAACATCTCTTAATGAAATGAGGATAACGAGTTACAACAACAAAATAATTTCCCTTTGGGATTAATAAAGTATTTTTGAATTGAATTGAATTGAATATCCACTTGGAAAAAATAAGACATACCCTGAAGGGCTCTGTAAAAAGATTTTGGGACATGTGGCAGCCTTTTATGTTGTATGTTCAAAATATGTCTGTACCTGTTTAATTTGTTTAAGTAATGTACAGTATGTTTGACTAATCCGGTGTGGGAGGGAAGGGGTGGGGGGTTTCTATGTTGTACTTTGTTTATGTATGTTTAAAATGAAAAAAACAGATAGAAACAGATACGTTTCTGACTAGAAATGAACAGAACTGTCTAAATGAGCGGAGTCATACCGTGTGTGTTATTAAGTGGTGCAGTGAGTTTGCTGCACAGTAATTGATCATGTGGTGGCAAATTAAAAGCTGTAGAGGACGAGAGCAATGTTGAGTCCCATCTAAATCATAACGTCCATTAGACTCCCCGTGCAAAGCTCTGGGGATCAGGAGAAACACTGCCAATTTTCTCCCTGATCCGATACACACACCGAACCCACACATGCATGTGCAATTCCACACAAACCCCAGGAGAGGCACGTAGGCACACACGCACACACCACTACAGGGCTTTTTCAAAAACCCACCGGATCAGCAGCTGCCTTTCAGTATGAAAACAAGGAGCTTAGCAGAAGAGGTTAATGACCCCAAAGGGCATCACGCACCTCAGCGAGAGGAAGAGCTCCGAGAGGCCCAAACACAACCCAGCCAAATACTTTTCACAGCTACCAGTGGTGAAAAGGTGTTTTAATGTCATGTGTTTCTGGAGGAATGTGAATTAATCAAATATTTTCAGTCCTAAAAAGGAATCTAGACAAAATCTCCATGAGCATAAAATAAAAAAAAACAAGTTTATTTCATTGGCCCATTGTCACGACAAATCTGTTCACACAGATTTAAACTCATATAATTTATGATGAGAAGTGAAGGAGTAATATCTGTTGTGATCAAACCTTGGAATTGCTGTTTGGCATTAAAGTGTGTTAAAATGTGACTTTGCCAGATGTGTTGGTGCTCAGAGTAAGCGTTGAGGGTGACTCTCAGCTACTACCGCACCAGATTTTAGCTTAATATCAGGGAATTTAAAAAAGTTACAGTCATTGTTTGGTGCTGAATAAGGTCAATCCATTGTGGCAGCCATCTTGAATTTGGTTGACTTCAGAACTGCCTAATTTTTCATGTCATAGATTCAACACGTTGTACATTCCTCAGAGATTTTGGTCCATATTGACATGATAGCATCACACTGTTGCTGAATTTGTCAGCTGCGGTGCACATCCATGATGCAAGCCGTCCATTCCACCCAATCCCAAAGGTGCTAGATGGGACTTAGATTTGGTGACCATGAAGGCCACTGGAGTCCAGTGAATTTAGATCCATCAGACCAGGGAATATTTTTACATTACATATTGTCCAGTTTTTGTTAGTCTGTGTCCTGTTCTTAGCTGACAGGAGTGGTGCCCGGTGTGGTCTTCTGCTGCTGTAGTCTATCTGCTTCAAGGTTGGACGTGTTGTGTGTTCAGAGATGGTTTGGTTGGATATGAGTGTTTTATTTATTTATTTGAGCAGCTACTGTCTTTCTGTCATCTCAGACCAGTCTGCCCATTGTCCTCTGACCTCCAACATTACCAAAGCTTTTCTTATCCACACAAATGCCGTTCACTGGATATTTTCCTTTTGTTGGACCGATCTCTTTAAATCCTAGTTTTAGGATGTGTGTACAAATCCCAGTAGATCAGCAGTTTCTGAAATACTCAGACCAGCTCATAGGGCACCAACAACCACATCACAGTAAATGGTAACTGGACTGTACTTATATAGCACCTAATCGAGATACTCAAAGCGCTGTACACTACAATCTGTCCTCATTTACCCATTCATGCAGCACTCTACTAGATCTATACAAAGCTAATCTGAATCTGTAGAGACTAATCAGTGCTTTAAATCACATTCATACATCGATGGGACACACATCGAAGGCAATGACGGATTCAGTGTCTTGCCCAGGGACACTTAAGCATGTGACTGCTGGTGGAATCGAACCCCCAACCCTCCCATTGGAGATGGACTGCAATAGCCACTCATCCACAGTCACCTAAACCCCCTCCCTCATTCTGATGCATGATTTGAACTTCAGCAAGTGATCTTCACTACGTCTACATGTTGGAGGGGATTGAGTTGCAACAATGTGACTGGTTGGCTGATTAGCTATTTGTGTTAACAAGCATATAAACGAGTCTACCTTATAACGTGGCTGGTGAGTGTATGCCATAGAAAAAGAACAGTAAGACCGTGATGAAAACAACATGACATAAAGGTAAGTGTGTGAAAGTACAAGGAGCTGGAAAGTAAATCTGTTGGGACAGCGAGTGCTGGTACCTTGTTTCTATAAATTGCAGCCAAAGGGTCAGTTGGTGTTTAGCACAGGCACTCAGACCCCCACCCTGCCTATCACATGTGGTCCTTGGTCTGCTGACGTCATTAGGCTACTAAAGCTCCATATACACGTTAGTAAGGTTCTTAAACACAGACCTGTTTCACGATAGATTTAATACCAAAATACAAAAAACGTATAAACTCAGAGGCAAGAGTTATAAGAGCTAAAAGTGTCTTGTAGAAGCATAACAAGCCTTAGACTAAAACTTAATTTGTAACTGAATGTAGATGAAATATTATTTGTAACTACAGCAAGTATTCATTGCAGGCAGTAGCACAAAAGTAAGGAAATGTGCGTTCGGTAGATTTTTGTTGTTGTAACAATGCTTCTTGGCAATGACTCTTATGGTTGGAAAGCTTGTTTATGTTCCCCTAAATAGTGTAAAAACATCCATCCATCATCTTTACCCGCTTTTTCTTTTTCGGGTCACGGGGGTCACCTGTGCCCATGTCCAGCAGTCACTGTGCGAGAGGCGGGGGACACCCTGGACAGGTCTCCAGTCCATCACAGGGACACATGACGAGACAAACAACCATTCACTCTCTCACTCACACCTAGGGACAATTTAGAGTTACCAATCAGCCTAACATGCATGTTTTTGGTCTGTGGGAGGAAACTGGAGTACACAGAGAAAACCCACACATGCACGGAGAGAACATGCAAACTCCACTGAGAAAGGCCCTCAGTTGGGATTTGAACCGAGGGGACCTGCTCGCTGAGAGGAGGCAGCTGTACCAACTGTGCCGCTGTGCTGCCCAGTGCAAAAACATTTTTAGGAAAATGAATTTGTGGGTTGTACCCATGAAAAACTTGCCAAGTCTTTTCTACCAATACCAAACAGCTTATTGCGCTATTGATTCTTGTTTTGAGCCCAGGTGCTGACAATCAGGTGGTCTGATGGAACACCTGTGGGATCAGCTGTTCGATCCAGAGTGACAACACAACCACATTGGCTGACTTACAACAAAATGGTTAAAAAATAGGATGCCATCTCACAGTCGAGTGTGGCCAAGCTGGTGCAGCACGAGGAGGTGCCAAGCTGTTGTGGCTGTGTATGGTTCTTCCACATGCTACTGAGGCCATGTGTTTGTTAAATCAATAAACTGTTAAATCGCCAGTATGACTTTTTTCTTTAGACTTCCAATTATCTGAACTAATAAATGACACCAAACAAGAGTCAGCTGTTTGACACTGGCAAACATGATTTGGCAAGATTTTCATGGGCACAACCCACAATTATTTGAGAGGTGCCACATTTTTAAGACATAAGAGCTGCATGGATTTGTTCTTGGTTGTTCTGCTGCTCAGACTTCCTACCGTTTAATGGGTCAAATATTTGATCCTCGAGCCAAGTAAAGCTCAAACTCAATTAAACGCAGACACGTGAACGCAACACAGCTCGAGTCCAGCGTGTTACAAGGGGCGGACAAAGAGGGGTACTGTAATGTTCTGGGTCAAATTTAGAACAAACAAAACAAAAAAAACAAAAAAACCGAGTAAATCCCAAACTTGAGCCACTTACCTCGTCCTCCTTTTCGTTTCTGAAACACAAACACGCCGCTCTTCTCTTGAACCCTTCCCCGTCGTATGTCCTGGTCTGGTTGGGCTTGTATTTCATCATAAATGCTCTCGGGTGGAAAGACAAGAAGCAGAAGAAGTGAGGACAACGTAGAAATAAAATACCTCGAGCGTCCCTCTGTTTAAATTACTGTCCCGTGCAGTGGCTTCAGTCATTCATCACTGTGCTTTAAATGAATAATAATCAAACCGCTTCTGGTGCTCGAGCTGCTCCCATCGTGGAGCACCGTCAGCAGCGGTGCTCACATCTGTCTGTCCGCACAGCTGCACCAGCTGACCAGAGGAAGCAGCCTCCCACTTCACCCGAGCTCCACATTTATCAAACACGAGATTAACACAACTTTGCCCAGAAAAATAAATATATAAATAAATAAAAAGTTGTCGTCTCGCGCGTTTGGGAGATGCTGCTTTCAAGTGCACACTCAAAATCGGTTGCACTTTTAACTTCTTGAAAAGGCCCTTTAAAACCTATAGGTTCTGTTTTTATTATCTACCCGCGGACTAAAATGATTTTGTCTGTGTTTATCTGTTAGCAAAATATCTAACTAATTAATGGGTGAATTTTAATGAAACTCATGGTGCACAAGCTTGATAGCCACCGCAGCTGACCATAAACTATACATTTTTGTTTTATCTTCTTATTTCAGCTCTTTTCTCTTCGCCACAGCAAGTCATCCTCCTCCATCTCATTCTGTTCTCACTCCAACGACCTCCACGTCCTCTCTTAATGCACCCAAATCTGTCCTCCCTTTATCTTTTTCCTGGCAGCTGCATTTCTAACATCTTTCTACCAGTATATCCACTGTCCCTCCTCTGGACATGACCAAACCATCTCAGTCTAACTTTATCTCCCAGTTGTTCAACCTGTGCTGTACCTCTGATGATCTCATTCCTGATCTTATCCAGGAGAACTTCTGCATTTCTGCCACTTCCAGTTCTTTCTCCTGTCTTTTTGTCAATGCCTCTGTCTCCAGACAAGGGGGCTGCCTTTACGATCAAAAAGACATTTCTGCCCCTTTTTTCACTAAATTAAACATGTCCAGAGCTGCAAAACCATACAATAGAATAGAAACAGCCTTTATTGTCCCACGGATGGGGAAATTCAAGTGTAACAGCAGCAACAGATGTAAAGATTCACACAAAAAGTTCCTAGAAGGTTAAAAAAAAAACAGCTACAATTGTCATTAACAACTGGTGGCCCATGGGCCACTTTAAGTTTGTTAGAGGGGGCTTTTCTGGCCAGTAGGTGTGAAATTATAAAACTAAAAACATCCAATGATTGTTTACATTTACTGATATTTTTACATGTTGAGACAAAAGAAAATACTGGTTTCCATCCATCCATGCATCGTCTTTATTTGCTTCTTCCTTTTTGGATTGCAGGAGGTCACTGGTGCACATGTCCAGGTCACAAGTCTATCACAGAAAACTGGATTCTTGTAAAGGAAAAAAATATATATATATTATTTTGCCAATTTAAAAAAAAAAAAGTAAAACAAACTGTGTAGGCATATGCGCTTTTTTTTTAATTGTGGAGAAATTTAGTATACTTTGAAGAAATAAACAAAGTTAGAGTATAATATGCTCTGTGTATTAGTATTCACATATTTGCAAAGGAAGTGACAGGAAAACTGCCAAAACTAGCTATTTTTGTTGTGGGTATAACATCCAATAAAATTCAGTTTGTATTAGTTTTGGTCAAAGCTTGAAAGAGTCGCTGCAGAGGGACCAAAGAGCCACATGTGGCACCAGAGCCGCAGGTTGCAGACCCCGAGCCACATGTGGCTCCAGAGCCGCAGGTTGCAGACCCCGAGCCACATGTGGCTCCAGAGCCGCAGGTTGCAGACCCCTGCTCCAGACCATACAACACAGCTGGTCTCACCTCAAGTCGTGTAAACTTTTCCTTTGACCTTTTTGCTGACACCCTTTTGTCACAAATCACTCCTGAAACTTTTCTTCATCCACTCCATCCTGCCTGTTCACCTCTTTACCACACTCCCCATTTTCCTGGCCAAATTTTAATTTTACATTTAGTGACCTAAGAGTCATCCCCAATAAAACATACTATGAGAATAAAATCGCAAACGTCACTTTCAAGTTTTGACCAAAGTGCTCAAGGCTCATTTCTCAACATAAGATGTTAAAATTCTGGCATGAAAGGTGGCGGGCAATATGCATTCCTTCAATTAATTACTTTAGAGGCTGTCTATTTTTTTTATCTTAATTTATCTTGCCTTTTACATGTCAACATTTTATTTTAAACTTACCTTTTAAACTTTAGAGATGAAATTTAACAGAGACCAATCGTTTAATTTGACTCATTTTTTATATTAGACATCAACCAGGACTTGGCATAATAGTCCACTGGTTTCCAACGTCAGGGTCAGTGTGAAAAGATCTTAAGAAATCAAATTGACTTTAAAACATATTATTAGGAGTCAAAAGCCAAAAAGGTTGGTAACCTGTACTAATTCAAGCAAATGTATAATTTCATAGCCAAAAGCAAGATCTCCATTGCATTTATTTTTGTATTTTTGAAAAATATATGTCATTGATTACTAAAATAGAGGTATAATGTGCCATCTTTGGACCATGTGACCTTCTTGTCAAACAGAACTTCATGCAACTGGAGTTCCTTTTGATGGCAAGGGTCTTTTTTAAGCATAACACTGGTTTGAGACAAAGCTGACTGAAATAAGGAGCTTACTTTTCAAGGAATAATGCATTTACCAAGGTCATAATTCCTCAAATTGTTTCTACATGTACTTTGTTTTTAAGAAAATAGGTATTTTTAACTTCCATTAAAGCCTAGATTCTGTATTTGACAGTCATGAAGTAAAGCCTGCCACACTGTGAATCAAAAGCTTAAGGACTCACTCTAGTGGTAAAAGAGAGATTACACACAAAACATTACATACACATAAAATACTGCCAAAATTATAGTCCAGCGTTCACATTTATTGTGCAATTATGTCAATGAGAGAGCTACTGTGATTTATTTTAGAGGATTAATTCTTTTGTAAATGCTGAAATCAAAGCAGTGATAAATGCATTATTTAGCACACTTAACCACAATCCCTTCAAGAATCACACACAACTAATTAATAATCAACTGAATTTATTTACAGAACATAACAGTATGCACGAGAACAGTTTCATAGCATTCTGAGGAGAAAATTCATCTCCTTCGATTGATAAAGAACAAGGAACTGAACGAAGACCAATTAGACAGTCCCAAGCCGAAGTCTTTATCTGTAGAAGTTTGATCCCTTGATAATCCAGTTATCCTAACACCAGTCCCCTAAACTCATCCCAGCACCAGTTTCCATCACATCACCAGACAACCGATGGCTCAAATGGACCAGCTCTGTGCAGAACTGAACACCATTAGGAGCAGGTAAACCAGTCTTTGAGACAAGACGGCATAAAAGAGGAAGAAGCAAGGTTAGTTCAGCAGGAGCAAAATAAATTCACATATTGAAGCTGGATATTGTAATTACACATCTTATGTATGAAAAATAAGGAAAGGTCCACAATGTCCATCATACCTGATACTTTCACCTTTCAAAGGCCTACAGGATATCCAAGTCTACATAAAGTTTAAGCATCAGGCTCAGTTTGTTTTTATTAGTCCTATTGATTTGCATTTAATGAACCCAGAGCTTTGCAATGATTGTTTTTTTCCTGTAGGGATAAAACCCTCTGGGGTGAGTGAATATACAGTGGGCTAGTAGTAGTTAGTTGTTTTTACTAAACAGCGACACAATAAAACAAAGTTAAAAAAGAAACATATTATATTTCACATCCAGCCACTCTGTCATTCCCACTCAGTCCGCTGCTCCACCTGCCCTCAAAACCACATTCCCTCAAATTTATGGGACTTAAGACACCTCCTTTTTCCAGCTTAGTGGATGAAGAAAACCAGGTGAGTAGATGGAACACCTCTGCCCATGCATTTGAATAGTAGTGAGTTAAGACAAACACAAATCATTCAGTACTAAGTGCGCATTGAAATCACCAGATATCAGCAGTTGGTTTCATAGACATATATATTTATATAAAAAATAAAAGACTGTGTCCTTTAAATGCAAATGAAGCTGAAGGAGGTCTTGGCAGCACATGAGTTGTGTTCACACTTGTCGTTCACTTGTGTCTCAACATGTTGGGCTGCTTTAGATTTCATTTTTGTTTCCAGCATAAAGCCTGGTCCATGTCTTGGCTGTGAAGGCAAAAATATGCCAATTACTACCACAGTTTTATTCAAACAAGCTAACATACAGAAAGTTATTCCTAAGACATACTGCTTATAAAACATCCAATTTGAAATTCAATATGTCTAGACTCACATTTTCAAAAAACCTACACTGAGTTTTGAGCCACGTTTAATTTCAAAACATCTGTAAATTTGCAGTGAATGTTTGTGCAGTGGTGGTTTTATTATCTGTGTGGTTCAAACACCAGAAAAAAACACCAAAACTGCACAAGAGGTGAACAGCACAATATTGTTTTGGTTATCTAATTGAGTTTATGGTTTTAATGCCAGTGCTCTGCCACAAAATTAAGCTCATTTTGTAATATTTTTAGAAAAACAAACAGAAACAACCTTTGAACACCTTAGAGCTGGACTGCCTGATGGCTGAAAGTAGCACTAAAACCAACCCTGCTAAGACCTTCAAATGATGGTAAAACACAACTTTTTAAAAATGTATAAAAATGTACCCATGCTTTTTAACAACGCATGTGTAAATAATGTTTATTGTAATATAGTGGGGAAATACAGGAAAAGATGTTTAAAATATTCAGATATTTATAAACAGTCTAAACAGTAGATATGGTGGGACGGTTCGGTCTGGACCCTTACAGTCCATCACGCCAAAATGTAAAGTCTTGTTCAGAATAGCTCAAAGATGGGGGGGGGGGGGGGGGGTGTTAGGTATTTAGTGTCTTCTTTCAGCTGCTCCCTTCTTCATTCGTCTCTACATCATGCAAACTCAAATAAAGATTTGGCCATTGTTTTATACCGGATACCTTTTCTGATGCAACCCTCAACCAGTGAGCTACCACAGCCCATGTGTGTGGAGCAGAGGGCTGCCGTTTACGGCACCTGGGGAGCATATGGGGGCGGGGTTAAAGGCCTTGCTCTAGGGTCATGGTGGGGCAACTGAGTGTGGAGGCAGATGTGGATGCTTGACCTTTCCCACCCAAATTTGTTGTTTTGTCTGTACAGCACTTTGGTTGGCCTTGTAGCTGTTTTAAGTGCTTTATAAATAAAGTGGTATGGTACCCAAATTTTTATGTAACAGTCTGAGGATTCAAACCTGCGACCTCCCGATCATAGGCTCACCTTCTCTAACCTTTGTTCCACCACTGCCCTCAGTCTTGAGTGTCAAGAATGTAAATCCCCTTTTTTCACTTTTTTCTTGCAGATCTACTTTGTGCGTGTCAACACTTATTCTAAACTCAAAACTATGGATAGAAGCCTCAACCACAAATAATTTCAGATAGATGTAAAATATATTTGTGCTATTTTTAGGTCGATCAACTCTTTACGGTTAGAGCCCTGCACAGAGGAAGAGGTGAATGGAGACGCAGAAGCAGATCAGAACCCTCACCTGTTTCTATGGCTTCAGCTTCGTTGGACTTCCACTTTTCTGCAACATCGTTTGCTAGGGGATCGTCAGGATTGGGCGCACTTAGTAAAGCCTGGATTGATAGGAGCACTGTGCGGATCTGCAGAGCTGGTGACCACTTATCTGAAGTGGATTGATTCAAAAAAGAAAGAAAAAAAAAGAATTAGAGTGTGACTTTTTATTCAACAGTGAAACTGAAAAAATCCTTCAATCTATTTGAGATTAAAAGCAGAAAAAAAATAAAATCATCAATTCCTTACAGTTATTCTTTCAGCATATAAAAAGAACTGTGCCGTTTAAGTTAAAACAAAAAGGGCGTCCTGCATTAGAGACATGAGAAAGATCTGGTTTACCTTTCAAAATGTCCAGACATATTCTACCCAGCTTGTCCACATTGGGATGATATATTTTGGTCATAAAACGTACTTTAGGAGCTGCCATGGGATATTCCTCTGGTAAAAACAGTTCAAGTTTAAATGTGCCTCCCTCAAAAGGTGAGTCTTGAGGTCCAGCGATGACGACATGAAAGTAGCGAGCATTGCCTTCGTCTGGCTCGGCCTTGATGCCAGGAACCGGCTCTGCGAGCAAACGCTGAGTTTCCTGAGGAGAAGAAGAAAAAAAAAGATAACTCACTTAGTAAGGTATCGACAAGTAGAATGAATAGTAAAAAGATGGAAGAGATGTTTAGAATAGAGAAGTCATTTTCCAATTTCATAGTTTTAAAGCATAAAGGTGGGTCATCACTGTCCTGAAGCCAACCCAGACTAACCAACCATCAACACTCACACGTATAGTTAGATTAACAAACTTATTCACAGCAGAATGCTGTAACCTTCCAGGCCCTGCCTGGGCCCGACAAACAAAGTTTGAGAACTACTGTTTCAGACCAATAAAAGTAATCTGGGCGGTGTGAAAGTGTCTTTAAAGGTGACTGAATTCATTGACCACACCACAGGGACTCGACTTAAAATGCAACGCATGCCTTTACTTTGGGGAAATAAATCACCTGACTTGTGTTCTGCATAAAATGCCTAAAAAAAGTAACTACTTTAAAACAAGAAAATTACTAACTCAAACAAACGTTTAGCAAACTGCATTTTTTCTTCTAGTCAGTTTCTCACTCAACAGTGTATCGTAAAATTATCAGATTTTTACAATCTAAAAATTTGATTGTGGCAGTTTGAAATCGCATTCAAATAAAACCAAAAGTCATAATATTACAATTAGTCGTTCATAATATTAATCAGTTTGATGGACATCCCTGAGTTGTGTTTTTGTCACCCATCTTCCTTCATCCAACTGGGAATGAGATTCCTGAAATGTTTCAGACTCGCAGACAAAACCGTGCAGTGAAAACACAGACAGCAGAGGGGCTCCCAGTCGCAGTCTCACGCTCTGAGGGGCTCAACAACTCGGCCCATAAGTTCTGTTCCCAGCCCTCCCACCTTTTCCCACCAAAAGCTGTGAATTTGTTTCCTTATACACCTGTGAAACCTTCGAGAACCACTGTTCTAAAAAAATAAAAACGGTTAAATCCTAAAAACTGTGCAAAATACAAAATATACTAGGATTTTGTTTTTTTTAAGGTATAAATAACATTACATTTCTGTAGTCCAAAGCAGTTAGCATCATTTCCTCCAATCAAAACGGTTGTGGTTCAAAGCTGCTGGTTTTTCAGCATGGACCTGGATATTCCCTGGGTGTTTCAATACAAATAGATTAGGGTTGATTGTGATTGTTGATCTAAAACTGAGTGTGAATAATCTTCTGTATGTTGCAAAGTTAAGACTGTGACCAGGGAGGACTAAAGACACAACAGTTGTCAAAATATGCAGTATTTCAGTGCTTTTGATTCTTTGTGCTTCGAACACAATTTCTACATGATTAAATTACTGTTTGTGGGTTAATGTAACTCAAAGTCATCAGGGTTTCTATAGAATTTGCTTTAGAAAACTGCAGATGTTCCACATCTTTGTTTACAACTAAATTTGGTGACGTGTGTTACAGTTATGGAAATTCTCCTGTTAGCTTCGAATACTCGACACAGCTCATTTACACGTGGTCTTAGCACTAACTTTTGATTTAACGCACTCGACTTCATCCATTTCTGTCAACTCTCGTCCTCTTTGGTCGCCATTTCATTTTAGAAGAGAGAAGAATTTAACATTTTTGCTTTCGACCCGCTGTCTGATTCCAATATTCTCCCTCTGACTTGATTTATATCTGTGGATTTTCATTAATGACCTAAACTCCATCAGTGGCTGAGACTGTCTAAAGTGTACTCGTCAATTTCCAAATGTAACCAAACGACTCATAATTATTGGTAACAAAACAAGACTCTGCTGATTTTACTCTTTTATTACAAATTGTGCACTAGACTTTTGGTAGTGAATGATGCTTATTTATTGGATTTTTTTAAATTATAGATAATAATAATAATAATAATAATGTCATCACAATGTCAGCACTGTATGTTTCCATACAATGGCGAAATTAGTCTCTGCATTTAACCCATCCACCACCAGGTGGTGCAGTGGGCAGCTATTGAAAGCGCCCGGGGGACATTTTGGGGATTAGACGTGCTGCCCAGAGACGCCACGTGATGTGCAGTGACTGGGGATCGAACCTGGGACTCTCGGGTCCCAAGCCGGCTGCCCTGCCTCTACACCATATCGGCCCCTAGATCCACATATAAAAAAAATGTATCAAAAACATTGAAAATGTGCATTTTTTTAACAGCTATTATGAGTCTACTGTCAAACATGAACTTTAAAGAATATTGTGGGCATAGAAAATACATAAACTCGACTTTACTAAAAAAAAAAAAAAAAGCTAACACATGACATGTGGGGCTCTTAGCAAACACAGTCCATCAAAACATAGATATAAAATTTAGTGATTCCCACAAATATACATTAACTATATGACTACAAGTGTTATGTTTAAAATGTAGGCCTACTCTGATCAACAATCACAATTACAACTAAAATACCTACTGACTGAGTAGGTACAACTGTACCAGACAGGACAGGGACAAAAGTATCTGGCAGTGTCCATGTGGATCTGGTACTGTTATACAGACACGTTGGATTGTGGAGTAGGATCACTGGACTGGTCTTGTTTTCCATATACTGGTATGCTAGAGTGGTCTATAATGCCTATACAAAAAAAAAAGAAAATGCTGACATTCAACTATAATAACGGAGCAAACAGAGGAGGCTCAGCACAGTGTCTGCGTACAAGCTTGTATCACAGATTGAGCTGAGTGACAACAGGATTGTTAGAAAGGGTGGACTGCTGCATGCACTACTCCTTACTTTACACCTTTTTGATCTGTATCTGCCTCTACAGCTTATAGGGGTATCAGTGATGGATAAACTTCAGTGCCAAAATGTGGCAACGTTCTTAAAAGACGAGTGGGTAAAAGGACAGACCTGTGCTAAACGCCAGCAACAGTACTAACATTGGTGCAGTGCAGCAGACATCCGTACTAAAAATAATTTATGCTCGTGTTTTAAAATCAGAAACATTTTAAACCAAAGTGACACATAAAAACGTGTATGCTTTTTTTTTTAGCTTGGAGATTTTCTGCTTTCAACACTTGTTCAGCTAAGTGTCCAAATAGTTTCCTTTTTCCTACGGGATCAATAAAGTTCTATCTTATCTTTTAAATATCTTCTAATTGATCCAGAATGTTGCAGCAGGTTTTTGAAAGGAGCTGCAAAAATTAATCACAGTTTTTCCTATTTTAACTTCATCATGCTGTCAAGTTCAGAATTCAGTTTAAACTCCTTATCGCTTACACATCCCTTCATGGCTTGGCACCATCACATTAAAATAAAAACTATTTCCCTCCTCCTACCTCGGCTATCATTCTTCACTCTTAAGAAACAGGTTTACTGGTGGTTCCTAGAATCTCTAGAACTAGAACAGGAAGCAGAGATTTTTAGTTTTTTGACCTCTCTGAGCTGAGATCAACTTTCTTTCTGAGTTTGTGCCACACTCTGCTTTGAAAACCTAAAACTTACTTATTTTAAACAGAGCAAAGATAATATTTTATGTATTATTATGACAAATTTAGCTTAACTGTTTGTGTGTACTTGCTTTTGTGTTTTTGCTTTCATCTGCAGGTTTGGCTTCATTTACCCACAATCGTTTTGTCTTTACTTATATCTGCTCACTTTTATCTATTTACTCATTTTACTTTCATTATTATTATTATTATTATTATTATTCACCCTTGTTCATTTTGTATGATATTTTTAAACCTCTTGAATCATTTTCAAATCGTCTTATTTGATGCCTCTTTGTTTTTATGCCATGATCTACTTTGTTCAGCACTTTGAGCTTCACTTGTGTTTAAAAAGAACATTCTAAATAAAGTTTAAATTAATTTAAGTTTATTCATATTTTGGCCTAAGCGATTGACATGAATGAAAAGTGTTCCTTCAATTCAATAAAACGTTATTAATCCCAAAGGGAGTGGGGTACAAAGAAAGAAACGCAATTCACGTGCAGTAAAAGTATACCACTGCAGTTTTTTGGGTTGCAGGATTGCGTCATCTTGGCATCTAATTCAAATTCAAAGCTAACAAACTAGCCGAGTTTAGCACAGTTAGCTAACCGGGTCGTCCTGCACCAAAAGCGCACCTGATGAAGATTTTCCGCTTCAAAAGTACATTTTTATTATTTATCTGGGACACAGCACGTTTATCCGCTATCTTTCTGCTGCGCTGCAGTGTTTCTAAGCTAACTCGTTTCTCGAAAGATCTGGACTTCAAATATAAGCGGAAGTTATTTCATCAAACTGTTAGCCTGCTGAGTGCTAACGCTAGCACACAAAACTGTTCACCGGGAGAAGCCGGAGGAGTTTAAAGTAGGCATGCATTAATCTTTTATAACTGTAGATGAAGTGCGCCGCCGTTATAAATTATAAACAAGTACCTTAATGATCCTGCGGGGCAGTCCTGTCATTTTGCCTTTAAATGCGGGCTTTTAGCTCTCGGTAGCTTCTCTCTGTCGTTGGCATTGACAGCAAACAACTTCCGGCTTCGCTACGTCATCACCGCGTGCTCACACACAGCAGCGCGCTGGGAAGAACAGGTTTAACAGAAAAGGATGTTTTATTTGGGATGGGGAAATGTGACCATGTTAAAACAGAATCTTTATATGTTGTTAATTTTTTTATTATTGATGGAAAATATCATATTCACACCTCCAAATATTTACAACAAAAGCCCAACTTCAAGATTTTATTATCTTCTATAAATATTTATATAGAATCCTTAAAACGAAGCTCAAATGCTAAAATCATTCAAATTATAGCTGCCCTTGAAGAACTGCAACCCTCGAGCACCGATTTGATTTTAACATTGTAAAATACTATTTTATGTTCTGTAATACCCTTGCTTGCTGTATTTGTGTTTATAATTAGTTCTCTATTGTTCTCTTTTGTTCATGTATGTTCTATATTTGCAATAAAAAAGATAAAAAGAGCTGGTTTAAGTATAAAAAATAATTCATACATATTTTATCTTGCAAATGTTTTTTTTTTAAATATATATAACTGGACTAATACAGATCTCATATAAACATAAAGGCACAGAACTACAGCAAAAAAAAGAGTCAAATTTGAAATTCTGTGCAGAAAATATTTAAATGAAATCATTTCAAATCGGTTTGTAATGTTTTATAATCATATTTTGGCATTTTAAAACATTCTTATACAGTTTGATAATGTATGTCTTTATGTTATTCTTTTTTATGGTTTAACTTAATGCATTAGGTTATGGATACATAGTGAAAGTTAAATTGGGTTTCTTTTTTAGAAATAGATCCTGCCTAACTCTGAACGCTAGGAAACACCTTGTAACTGTGACTTTCCTTCCCTCCATCGACTATGGTGACATTATTTACATGAACGCTCCTACAAGAACCCTGCAGATGTTGGATGCTGCATATCACAGTGCTCTAAGATTCATAACTGGCTGTAATTACCATACCTGTACATCATTGCACCCTGTATTCACTGGTCATCATTAACTTCACGCACACTCTCTCACTGGTACATTTTCATCTTTAAATCACTTCTTGGTCTGCTGCCTTCATACATCTCCTCCTACAAGTCTCCGCGTGAGTGCAGCTACAGCGTGCGCTCTCAGGACATTATTACCTGCAGTGATCCCTCAGTGAGGTCTGAACTAGGCAAAAGGGCCTTCACCTACTCCGACTGTTTCCTGGAACATTTTTCAAAAAGACCTGAAGCTCTTGACCTTGACCTCTCTAAGTGGCTTGAAAACCCTGTTAAGTATCTGGCAAAAGTCAATGCAGACATGTTCCTGTTTTTAGTTTTCTAAATCGCCTTATGATCTAATTGTTTCAGGCTGCTATTCCTCTTGATTGGCCTTTTGGTTGCTATTTTGTTTCTATTTATAAAAAAAAAAGAGAAACTTAAATTTGTATGCCTATTTTATAACTGTCTATTGTTATCGTTGTTATCCATTGTTGTCATCATTCTTTGTTGAAATCAGGTCTCTCTTGCAAATGAGTCCTTGAGGCTCAATGGGATTAGCCCGTCTAAGTAAAGGTTGAATGAATAATTAAAAAAAAATAAAATAAAATGTGTTTACAGTGACGACCAAAGCACTTTTCCTGTTTTTTTTTTTTTTTACTATAGTGTGTCAACAGGTAACACTGAAATAGTTTTAAGCTTCTTCTTTCTTTATACTGCACTGGACACCAACTTTCTTGTAATTTTATGAAGTGGTCTAACAGATCTCCCAAGTTTTCTGACAGTTATGAAGTTTGTTTGCTATTTTAAACATGGACTGCTATTTTTTTTTTTTTTTTTTTACTCGTTTTCCTGCAGACTGCAATGCATAGCATGTGCGGAAGAAAAAGGTAGCTGGGCAAATGGAGAAAAATATTAAAAGCGTCAGACCTAAAAATCTGAAAGTTAAAATCCAGCAAAGACCTGACACGCAGGACCTGAAAGATGTGTCCCCTTTTTCTGCGCTGAGGCAACTTTTCAACAGCTCACCTTTTTGGTGCTAAAATATTATTTTGTGTCCATCAAATTGTGTTATTTTTAGTATTGCATTTTCCTTCAATTTATCTGAGGAAATTGTGAACACATTGTGTCTTTGCGACAGATTGATGCATCAAAATGCCAAACTTTTAACTGCCAGTATTGTGTCAATTCCATTTACTTTCCACACACGGTCGGATTTTCAGATCTCTTTCACCTGCTTCAGACAAAACAAACACGAGTTAGACCTAACAACCCTGAAGGTCAACAAGCCTGCATAGTTCAACCATGCTTTCCCGTCACTGTGTTGTATATATACAGGTTGAACATAGATGGAGAGAAGCTTTGGAGCTCCTCCTCCTCCTACCATGACTGAATGAACAACACTTTTGTTCCCCTGGGCGCCGGTTACATTAACGGTTCTGCAAACTCACGGCGACTTCATTCACAGATCTGAGTGCACAACAAGCCCAGCATGCAAGTCCTGTCCCAACTGAGCTCAACAGGTAGGTTTAACATATATCTGCAACTAATGTACGCTTTAAAAACCATGAACCAGTTTGCTGATCTTAGTGTTTTAAATGCACATTTATGCCGTTTATGATTTCATCATAATTCTGTGGACTATTTCCTAGTGATAACCTTTTATTTTTCTGTGCAGTTTGCACATATAGGACTGTAGCATGAAGGCTCAAGGTGGTTTAAACGCTGGTTTCATGAAAATGGCTTCAACGTGTGTTTTTGCTTTGGTTTTTACAGAACTGAACATTTGTGATCAGGTTTCTGTACAATATTTAGATTTCATAGTTTCAAAAGTTGATCTTTCTACTTGTTCGTATTCTTTATACAAGTGCAACTTTAATCCAGTGCTTCATTCAGTTTAAATACTGGAATCTCTTTGCACAGTCCACACTTAGTTTTTGGATATGTACGAATAATTAATTATTATTAGGGACTTGAAAGTGAGTTTAATAAATGTATGCTGTTTTGGTCTGATTATGTTGCACTCCTTGTAAAAGTAAAACGAGCACAAAACTCGTCTTATTCTTGTAAATTGTATTTAAAAAAAGCTTCATTTTCCACAGATACATAATTGAAACACCTAATTTCACCCCTTCGTCTCATCCTGACTTCAAAGGGCTCCACCGTGGTGTATTTGGGTTGTGTTTTTTGGCACTGCGTCCTGTCCGGTCCCCACCTCAGAAAACTTTTCCATTGTTCAGCTCACAGAGGAGCAGATGAACCAGCAGCTAATGCAGGCACCAGACGCAGCATCAGGAAGGTCACAGAAGCTGCCCTGCAGGATTCTCTCTCAACACTTAGCCTGTTAGCTCCTTTTGACTCATGTGGAGAAGGTTCTGAGCGTGAAAACAAATAAATTAATTCAGATGGAAGCTTTTCACTCTGATATTAGACGTTTATGCCAATTGTTTTTGTCTCACGATGAATTACAAATTAATCCCAGAGATCAAGATTGATGGATTCCTTTGATGTTCTTAAGACTTAAATATTTGGTATTTAATGACAGATAAATTGCACAAGAGTTGAATGAATGAATGAATGAATGAATGAATGAATGTTATTTAAAAAGGGACAATGTACAATTCAAACATAAAGGGCACCATTTGATGTGCTGCACCAGATTATAGCAAAAACTAATTCGCATCTGCAATCCAGTGACAAGTTAAAAAAATGGATATGCAATTGAAAATAAGACAGAAAATATAACAATATCAATTGCTTTCAAATCACAATACACAAACACTCCATGTCATTAAACCAGCCTGACCCTAACAGGTGACACAGTACAACATATGGGATCAAATCTGTTATAAAAGTTGTAGTTAAGAAAGAACTTTCAGCTTTTTACTGGTTTTGATCCTCATTCTGATAAAGTTAAATGTTTTGTTGTTGTGCATTTACAAGCATCAATGCTGCAGATTTAGGCAAAACCTGTGGAAGCAACTTTTTTGACTCTTTAAGAAAATAACAACTGCTTCTTGGACTAAGAAGCACAAAAATTAAGCCGCTGTAACTGATCAAGATCGAGGTTTCTTTATTTGTCATTCGCATCATATGTGGTACATGTGGTGGAACAAAATTGTGTACACAGGGTCCCAGTTACATCCAACAAAAGTATAAATTGTAAAGAAAAACAGTAATCAGATCTAAGATATGAACTAAGAATAAGCTAAGCACTAATAGTACAAAAACAATACGCTGAACAGCAGCACGAACACGAGTCTGTGTGAGCAGATGAGTACAAATGAACACAGCAGCATGAAATACATCAGCAGCATGAGATCAGCAGCACATATCGACAATCAAGTGGCATTACAGTGATTTTTTTTCTCTCGCAGTGATTATCCTGGTTAGAGATTCATGAGTCTAACAGCATCAGGGTAGAAGCTTTTCCTCAGTCTAGTGGTTCTACATTTAATGCTCCTCAGCCTCCTGCCTGAGGGGAGGGGGGCAAAAGTGTGTGTGCTGGATGAGTGGAGTCCTTCGTGATGCAGGTGGCCCTCTTCCTGCATCTGGAGGTGTAGATCTCTGTGATGGTGGAGAGGCTGACTCCAAGAGACTTCTGTGCAGCCTCCATGCCACATATTTTTACACATTTGTTGTCATTAAACGAGTTATAGTTAAGTAACTAATGAGCTACAGATGGAGCGGCATGTAAAAAACTGTTTTCCTCGCTTCAGTTTTTGTGAAACACCAAACAACGACCAAACTCGTCCTTTTTACCACCCACTGTCAAAGACAAGACAGATGATAATGTCTACTGTATGTGTGTGAGTGTGTCTGTCTTTTAGCAAAATAACTAATGAACCACTGGATGAATTAAAAACAACAACAACTCACAAATAAGTATGTTTAAAACCGATGGACTTTTTCGAACATCTTATTTGACATCTTTCTTTCTGTCATGATTTCAGCCTACTGGAGCTCACACTTCCTTGTGGCATGCTGGTTACTCGTGATCCTCCCCTCTGGAACCGTTTGGTCCCTCCAGTTCCCTCTGGGAACGTCAAATCTCCGCTCTGCTTTCTCCGCCACTCGAACCAGCAGCGTTGTGGGGGGCAAGCAGAGAGCAGTGACCTTCAACAAGCTCATGGTCAACATTGGACAGGACTTCAACCCAGACACCGGCCACTTCCGCTGCCGCATCCCCGGGGCGTATTATTTCTCCTTCTCCGTAGGGAAGTTCCCTAAAAAGCTGCTCTCTGTGATTCTGGTGAAGAACAGGGAGGAGGTGCAGGCCATGGCTTATGATGACTACTGCAGGATAGGGAGGAAGGTCCAAAGCCAAAGTGTGTTGGTGAGTTTGAAGGAAATGGACACCGTGTGGCTGCTCATACAGCAGAACCCCAAGTATGCTCTGTACAGCAACGCCGGCCCTTACATCACCTTCTCTGGCTACCTGGTTTACCCAGAAACCCAACCAGCCAGCTACATCAGCAACCACCTTTCCTCACTGGCACTGCCTCACCCCAACTGCCCCCCTCAGACGGAGCAGCCACGGTCGGCCTTCTCCGTGGCGCGAACATCCACATTCCTGGGTCAGAGCAGCAGGCACCAGGACCGGCCACCTTTGACCTTCGACGTGGAATACGTCAACATCGGGTCCCACTTCAACAAAACCTCCGGCTTGTTCACGTGTCGCTTCCCCGGCGTGTACTTCTTTGCCTTCACGGTGGGGAAACACCCCCGGAAGGCCCTTTCAGTGAAGCTGATGACGGGGGGTGGGCAGGTGCAGGCCATGGTGTTTGATGAGGACACGTCCAAGAGGCGGGAGATGCAGAGCCAGAGCCTGATGCTGCCGCTCAGCGGGGGGGACAAGGTGTGGTTGTACAGTCAACAGGACGAGGGTTACGCCGTTTACAGCAACCAGGGCAGATACACCACCTTCTCTGGCTTCCTGGTTTATCCAGGAGCTGACGCGGTGTCCAACACCCAGGACAGATCTCACCTATAAAGGACGTTATCGCTGATCCAGTCTTTAGAAAGCAGCAGGTTTTGTAGTTAAACTGGGAGGGATTTAGATGTATAACAAACAACGTTAGCTGCTTTGGTTCTTTTCTTAAATAAACTTATTTGTTGCAATGCCCAATTAGTCCACAAGATGGCGCTCTGACACAGCGATGGCCTGTAACCAGCAAGAAACTGGTTCTCATTAAAGTATCACCAAATACATACTGTACATACATACACCCTATTTAGAAATTAGTGCCTTTGGGTTTTTATATTTAGATATTTTTTAACATGTAAAATCATTATTGGATGACAGAAATAATTTTGTAAATGATGTAAATTGTGTCCAAATTAAATTTTTCCATGAAGCAGACTTATATGGGTGCCATCTTTGTGATTAAATGTGGACTTTTTATACTATAGATAGACATGTTTTATTGTTTTGTGCATTTTCACGACAAACTAAATAAATTCATTGGTATTAAAAATGTAAAGCTTTTTTTTTCCTTTGCAGCCAAAATGCTAAAATTAACACTGTAATTAACATGGAAGGAGGCAAAACATTTATTTTCCTGCATTTACAAAGACTCATTGCGCAAAGCAAAGACGCAGAATACTGAATGAGCAAAATACAACCAGATGTTTGTTAAATATTCTTTATTGGCTTTTAGAAAATTTGTTAAAATGTGAAAAAAAAAAACATCAGTCCATTTTTAATTGAAGTGCTCAGAAGTTTAACTGCAGACATAAATAAGATAAAAAGTATTTTTTTCTGCAGGGTTGCACGAACCAGACAGATTTCCTCAAAGACTTTCTCAGAATTCATACGTTTGGATTTTGTTGAATATCGCCCGCTCTCAAAGGGGCAATAATGTTTTTGCTCATGTTCCTGTAAGTTCAAGTTGTCTGTTGCGTTAGTATAATATCTCAACAACCATTGGACGTATTTTACCAAAACTCTTAGACCCTAATCAGATGTAAATCTACAACTAACTAAGTTTTGGAGTCAACACCATTCAAGATGGCTGCCACAGCTAAGCAAGCTTATGAAACACAAGAGCCAGATTTACAAATATTGAGCTAAAATTTTGTGTGGTAGTAGTTGAACATAATTCTCAACACATATTTTGAGCTCTAACTGATCACTCAAGATCTGTTTTAAAAACATTACCATTCACTATTAGAGACATCTGTGTCTGTTAGCATAATATCTCATGAGCCACAGAAAGGATTTCAATGAAATGCTCTAAAAGTAATAATTGGCTGCACTTCCACAGCTGATCAACATTTGGAGTCATCCAAGTTCAAAATGGCCACCACAGCTAATCCACATTAGCCAGAGCAAAAAATGGCAGTAACTCTGTTAATTTTACAGATGTTGCACTAAGACTTGGTGTGGTGGTAGCTGAGAATCATCCTCAACACAAACATTGAGTGCTAACCTTTCTTACAGAGCTCACATGAACCCGTGCGTCATGTTCTTGTTTGTCCAAAACGACCACAAAACAGTTTCTCTGCATAAAATTTTCTCAGTGGCGAACTCATCGTCAAGAAATGCTAGGCCTTTAATGTTGCTAATCTTTTTTTCTTATACATTTTTGAGCTAAATATTGTCAAACTGTTCTTTAGAACAAATAAAAATTTTATTTATAGTTTAAAACTTGCACCAGACAACGTATTTGTCTTGTTGACAGCTCAGTGGTATAGAATATGTTGCAATGTGGACTTTTTACCCTCTAAGCCCTGTCAATTACTGAGGCAGATGCATGAAATATGAATTTTACACATAAAGCATGAATAAAGATCCAGTCTATTCTGAATTGTACACTTTTTACAACCAGTTTCATGGCTTTGACAAAGTTCCAGTGTGTCGTTGACTAATCAGTTTCTCAAGTTTAATAAATCTTCATATCTGTGTGAACGGTGAAAACAAGCTGACCTTCTGCACAAATGCCCCTTTAACCCATTCATAAAAGTCAGATAAACCATCTGCTGTAAACCTGCTCTCCTGCTGGAGCCGCCGTGCTCTCAAAGCTCAAACGTTCATCCTGGGTCACTGCACGTCCCAGATCTCACACAGCAGAGGGGTGAATTTCTGGTCGTTCACTCTCCATGACGTGAGCATCTCGGCGTGGTAGTGGTTTAGCGTCCTCAGCTCCGTCAGACGACCGAGGAGGCGAGCGAAGTACTGAGGATCCTGGGGATGCTGCAGAATGCACAACTTCCTGAGAATGTCCACCATGGGCTCCTGCAGCCTCTCGACAGCCTGCTGGTCCTTCACGTAAGGTCGATCTAAGGCAAAATAAAAGGATTTTAGATATTAACCTGAGAAATTAACTCTTAATGTTGAAATTACCGTATTTTTCAGACTATAAGGCGCGCTTAAACCCCTTTAATTTTCTCATAAATCAACAGTGATGTTATGTATTAATCCTGGTTGAGGTTACTGACCTGGAACTGATTTTATGTGTACACGGCGCTCAAAAATCTGTCAAAATGTTTTAGTTTCACTTAATGCGCCTTATAATCCGAAAAATACGGTACAGGTAAAAGCTGCTCCTACAAGCTCACCTGGTGTCAGGATTGTTATGGCAGTGAGCAGAGCCTGCTCCTCCTCCACCATGTGGAGATCACCTACGCTTTTATAAAAGTTAAACAAGGGAGTGATAAATTCTTCTGATATACCTACAGAAGCAAAAACAGAAAACATTTGAAAAGTCATTATCGATTGGCAGCATCCCAAAGCTGGAAAAATGTGCACATCAGATGGTTTATGAGAGCTCGAACAGAAAACAACTGGATTTATCCCCCTGGAAGCTTGAACTGAAGAAGATTTATGTGTAAATAACAAACCCCTTTTCAAAAACAGCAACAAGAAAGCTCTTTATTTTCAAGCATTTAGGATTAGACCATGATCAAGAAGATGGAGAATCTACACGGATGTTTGGTTGGCTCATTTTATTTCAGTGCCTAAACATGCTGCTCTGCAGGATGAGTAGTTATACAAACAGAAAGAAGAGCAGAAAAGAAAAACTGAGAGTTTAAAGATCAGTTTAAATTAGTTAATACCAAAATGACTGCAAGAACTCATTTAGGTCACAACTAAAGCTCTGGAGCAGACTTTATGCAGAACAAAAAAGATGCTAAATACAGATTAATCAATCCATCCATCCATCCATCCATCCATCCATCCATCCATCCATCCATCCATCCATCCATCCATCCATCCATCCATCCATCCATCCATCTGTAGTGAGTCACGTGGGTACGTGTCACTAGTTGTAGTATGACAATATATCCCCGTTTATATGCATACTATATTCACGAGTTCCTCATCTTTCTGACTGTAATGTCGTGCATTGAATTTTAACAGAAATGCGAACGAGAGACGTTATTATCTTTGACCCATCAAAATGAATGTGGTCATTTATTTTCAGAATCAAAGTTTAACATCAAACATTTACATTAATTTGGCAAAATATGAAAATAATAACAGACAGTTTCACAGAAAATGAGCATCGATCACTCGGCGGTGAACGAGGACTTTGCTTCAGATATTTCTAAAATATCTGTACTGGTTTTGTGAGAGAGAGAGAAGAGTTTAAGATGAAATGGAGATTTATCTTACAGAGAACTATGTGAGGGAATTAATCTGTTTGACCAGAACGTGCACGCTTCATCAGATCTCAGCTCGCCTCCGGTACACTTTAGTCGAAGAAGAGACCGTTACCTGGTGATGATAGATCAGCTCGATAGGGAATCCTCCAGACCTTTCAGCGTCTCCGTTGAGAGCTGCTGAAATCCTTAGATAGTCGTGCGTGGGTTGTTCAAACAGAAGTTATAATTCCAAACGTCTCTGACTCTCCTGAATTCTCGAATTCTCTTCCATTCACTTCACCATTCTCCATGAATTCCCCATGAATTCCTTCAGAACTCCTTGAGAACTTACTTGAGAACTCCTTGAGAACTACTTGAGAACTGCTTGAGAACTAACTTGAACTGGGGAGTTGCCACATTTTAAATGGGTCGACTTCCGGTTCAATTTAGAGCTTTCTGATTCGTGGATGTACCAGAAAGAGGTGTGGTTTTTGACGTAAGGTATTATCAAAAGTCGAGGTCAGGGAATGAATTTGTTTTCAACATACAGAAAAGATTATTGCAGAAACAGCAGACTTTTTGGAGCCTCACTCTGTTGTATCTTTCCAAATAGTAAAACATGACATCCCTTTTTCAGTAAACATTTAGTTGACCGAAGCTTCAACTTTCACATACTTACGACTTGGCTCATTTCAGACAGAAAATCAAGAAATGCATATTCAGGTGATTTCTTCTTTGAATGAGGAATAAAAATCATTACTTACTGTTTATGTAAAATAAAAATGAGTAGTTCTTTTCAACCTGTAAGCATTGAGTGAAACTAACACAATTTGATTATCAAACATTTGTAAGACAGTAATGATTATAAAGAATTGTCTTTTCTGCTTGATTAATTCAAGAAAGAAAGTCATCAGATGGCTCAGACTTATTCAGATCAATGAAAATGACAGTCTCTGTCCATCTGGTAGATTTGAGGTCATCAGGGTCAGATAAGGGTCAGACCAGGTTCACTACACATCCATCCATCCATCCATCCATCCATCCATCCATTATCTTCCACTTATTCCAAAGTTGGGTTGTGGGGGCAGCAGCTTGAGCAGGGAGGCCCAGACATCTCGTTCCACAGCCACCTCTTCCAGTTCTTCTGGGTGGACCCCAAGGCGTTCCCAGGCCACTATCCAATGTGTCCTGGGTCTTCCCCGGGGTCTCTTCTCAGTCGGACATGCCCGAAGCACCTCAACTGGTTCCTCTTGATATGGAGGAGCAACAGTTCTACTCCGAGTCTCTCCCAGATAACTGAACTTCTCATCCCATCTCTAAAGGAGAGTCCAGTTACCCTGCGGAGGAAACTCATTTCAACCTCCTGTATCCGTGATCTCATTCTTTCAGTCACTACCAAGAGGTTATGGCAATAGGTAGGACCGTAGAGCAACTGGTAAACAGAGAGCTTTGCCTTACAGCTCAGCTCCCTCTTCACCTCAACTGACTGGCACAGAGTCCACAATACTGCAGTTGCTGCACCAATCCATCTGTCAATCAAACGCTTCATTCTTTCCTCACTCTTGAACAAAACCCCGAGATACTTGAACTCCTCCTTGTGAGACAGAACCTCACTCTCGACCTGAAGAGAGCAATCCACCCTTTCCCGATGAAGATTAATACAGATTATTACAGATTAATATTTTAACATAAGATGCACAAATGACAGAAGAAATAAACTCACAAACTTGTAAAATCCACACTTTTTAAATCAATCAATCAATCAAGCAATCAATCAATTCAACTTTATTGTCCATAATATTCAATGAAATGAAGATTTGTCTTTGACATTGGCTCATAAAAACAACACAAGTTAAAAATGTTGTTAAAAACCTTTAAAAAGGTTTAAAAGCTTTGCTAATTCAATTAAAACCATTCTAAAATACACAATACATTAAAATATGGAAACATCCCAGCAGACAGTGGTTTGTTACGTGAGGCTGCGTTAAAATAAGACCTTGTTACATTCACTACAGAGGGAACAAATGACTGTCCATTTTTCTTTGCTAAAGGAACCAGCAGTCTTCTGCCAGATGGTACCAACCTGAATAATGGTTGCAGTGGATGAACTGGGTCATTGTAAACCTGTACTGCCTTTTTTTTCCAGAGCATGACTGTACAGGTCTGTAAGTGTCATTTGTTGATGACCAATGACTTTGTTTGACCACCCAGGACAACTTGTTCATAAAAGGTTCCCATACCATGAGACAATATTAAACAAAACTTCACTTTCAACCAGTGACCTGTACACCAACTGCATAGTCATTTTGTTTACATTAAAGCTCCTTATCTTATACAGAAGGTGGAGACGCTGTCTGGCATTTTGTGTGAACATAATCAATGTTGGGCTCAAAATGGAGCAAAACAAAACTTTCTATAGAAACTTGGGTTAAAAATCCACCTGCTAGTTGTTGAGTTTCTCAAGATTCCAGCTCATTGGATGAACTACTTTAATTTTTCACCTTTTTTATTTTTCGTTGCCACCCTTTTCCTTTTAAATGTCTCTTTTACCATTTTGTTGTTGTAAAACTGTCACAGTTTGTCTATTTATCTTTGTTCTTTGCTGATCTCGGCACTGGTTTTCTCTCAATCATTATAAGTTTTATTATTTAGTCACGTTCTTGTTCTAGATTCCATCAGTTCCTGGTTCCAGCTTCATATGCACCACCTGGTCTTTATTAGTAATCAGCACACCTAAATGCTCACTGCTCTGTAGTTACGCTCCTCGGGTTTTCTGTTTCAATGCAGATGTTCTCACAGATTTTCTGCTTGTTAAAAGTCTGTCCAAGATCTACAACTGAAGTCCTTTATGTCTGATGTGGTCCTGTTACAACCAGCGCATGTGTATTACTATGAGTATTACTATGAGTATTACTGATGGAGCCTGATGTATTACTATGAGTAT